TGTGTGTGTGTTGGAGTTGTGGGGGAGGGGAGGGGATAGGAGGGGTTTCCCTCCTTCCTTTTGATACTATTACATTCACAAGCCTTTGTAGTCGGTTCTAGAGAGCAAAACACTGCTTCGCACTGGCTACATCCCCACAAGACCTGCCAAAGAATTTGCACCACTACTTTTCTTTGGGTCAGCTACAATAGAGGAGGAACTCTCCTCTTTATGTGCCTGTGTGCATATAAGTGGGAATTTCTGACACTGAAGCCAAATTAAGCTAAGGAGACAATACTTATATGTTAACATATGATGAAACAAATAAATTGTCTGGAACACAATCTGTTCTGTGAACCACAATAAACAAGCAAATAGACATACTCACAGTATTTGGCAATGTTGGAAGGTAATCCTCTGTAGCCAAATAGTCAGCATACTCTATTTCTCCAATATGAATTGCCACAGAACCATCATTTGACTTCTCTGACATGATCATCCTAGTCCGTGCTTTTGGAATGAGTTGATAACCATTACCTGACATACAGTGAAAGGATCAGTCACCATCACAAAGTGCTAGCCAATCTGATGAGGACATCACTTGTTTGGGCTAGCTTATTTTCTTGTGGATCATTTACTATTGTTTTATTTCATTGGGCTTGTATTATAGGGTTTGGCCCAAGCCCACTTACTTTTTAGGTTTATTGGTTTCTCTATTTATAAGACTTGGTAATGTAATTTCAAGGGCACAAGGGATTGAGAAATTGAATCAAAAAGTTTTCTTCTCCCCTAATTTCCTCTTCTTCTTTCCTAGTCTCTTGCTGCTGCTTCTGTTCTGTTTCTTCTTCTTCTCCTCCTCTTCTTGCTTCTTCTCCCCTCCTTGCCTTTTCCCCTCAATCTATTCTACATCACAATCAGGAATTTATAGTCAACCAACCTTGAAGAACACGCTCCGTCTGAACAAAGTTTAAGATCCTTGTCTTGGGAACATTCATGCTCCCACCTACAAGGGACCTTGATAATGGCATTTTACGTGTTTCATCTTTCAAATTCTCATTGTTTGAATCACTGGAAAGATGAAGCAGCAGCTGTTGAGCAGAAAACGTATTTGGTTTCCCGATAGGATACTGATCAACCTTGTTCTTTTTGCTGTTAAGTTGATACCTGAAATAGAAAAAGAAAATGAAATGAGCAGTCGAGAAATAAGGGCCTGTTCAACAAGATACTAAAGGAAAAATCAAGATAAACCAACAATTTTTGATAATTTGTTCTCCCTAGACAGTTCTACTTGGGAACTTCTCATGGAAGGCAATATAAGAGCTATAATGTTCTATTCCACTCGCATTACACAGAAGTCTAATTGGTTTGGGCTCTTTTTAATTACTTTGAGCAAATAATTGACAAGTCAGAACCCCCATTAAGTAAGTCTTCAAGCTTTTATGCATACTAGATTTCAAAGTAGTTGAGATTTGAGAACTTATGTCAGGAGTGCAAGAGTACTTTTATCCAATATATGTGGTACAAGTCTAAAAATAATGGCAGCCTGATTGACAGAAATACCTCGAAGTCACCATTTCAATATTCGAGAATCTTTCTAGCATGGCTTGGTCCGCCAATTGAGCTCCAACAGGACTGTTTGCATTTATCATAGAATTCATATTACTAACACTAGCAGGAGAACCAACTCCACTAATTGCAGCGGTTCTTTGGAGAGAATTGGATCTACGTTTTGCAGCAGCTTGTGCCTGGTTTTGCCGTTGCATTGCCTCATTCGCACTGGAAGTCAAAGGCACGGTGCCACCAACACCAATGGGAGGAACTGAAGTCACTGCAGACTTCTCCTTTTGGGATGAGACAAGTCCACTAGTCACACCACCTCCAAATTGAGGTCCTATTGAACTGCTGGAGAATTCTCCAGATTTTGATGACAAGGGAGATTGAGGTAAACCTCCAGCAGATACACGAGGACTTTGAACTAGTTTTCTCTTGTGGAAATCCTCCTTTCTAGAATTATTATCAAGAGGCTGACCAAGACTATTCCATGGAGGCTGGAGGAAACCAGCTCTCCCGAATTGCTGTGGCATTCTTTGCTGTAATCGTGACTGTGAGGAATCAATATGGGCTATTCCTGATTCTGCCATATGAATTCGACAGAGATCTGTTTTGTCCAATCTCTCTGTCTCAATTGGTTCTTCCTTTAACCCATATCTCATTCCTTGCTGTCCAGCGGTAAACGGCATTGTCCCAATATCCTGATTTAGACCTCCTTCAAACACCTGCTGTGAGAACTTTTTCATAGGATTATTAGCATACTGAATCCCTCTTGCAACAGATTGCTGCTGCATTAATGTATTCTTCCAGTGTGAATCTGGTCCGTTGAAGCTGTCCATTTGTTGTGCTACATTTTGACTACCATCAACACCTGTAGCCATAAGCCTACCCCTCTTGCTTAAAAGTGGAGATAGTTGCCCATCTTGGTTTTCTCTCTTGCAATGAACACAAGAAGCGCCATTATCAGTGAGTGATATCATATCCTGCCCAGCTGGTGAAGCAATTGATGCATTCAATTGAGCTCCAGGCCGATTATCCTGCAGAAGGCTTGGGCTCCCAACCCCCATTTGAAATTTTGACTGGGGGGATACCAGAGAAGATGCTGAAACAGAGACATCTGACCCAAAGCTGTTGGTCCTTAGAGGAAGCATTGCACTTGGAACATTATTTTGAGTGTTCAAATTCTCTTGGACAGACTGCTGCATTAAGGGTCGCCAGTCACCCAACCTTGAACTTTCGGGAACTTTATCTAGGCATACCCTTTTCCCATGGATTTTATTATTCGATGAGATGGTAGCTTCATGAATCTGCCTCAATCTTTTTCTCCTCATGCTGTGCACTGCCAAATTTAACTGCAAATAAGGTGCATCATGTTAAAATAAATAATATCCTTACAACAAAAATAAGATAAATCAAGTTGCATATGCACCTTAGCAGGAACTGGGTTGTCACTGAGTCTATCCAGCTTTGGACTTGGATCCAGGCAAAGTTGTGGTTGTACAGCTTTCAAAATCCGGGCCTCCACTTCCTACACACAAACATCATAAGGATACTATCTCCTGGTGCATGCAACAAGAAAAACGGTTCACTTACCATCAGATCTCCATATGTCCAACTATCGTCGGAAATAGATGGAATATCCTTTACTACATTTTCCAAAGACATTCTAAGACGCACTCTAAGGACACTAGGTGAAGCATCCCCAGAAGGCACATGAATCCTTTTTTCAGAAGAGCAATTCCGGTAATCTCGCACCTGTAGAAGTATCATCCAATGTTACAAATTCTCGAAATTCCGAAATTCCAAATGTCTTTGATGCCGAATAAATGATCGATATTAATGTGACTAGAATAACTGTCTCCATTACTATCTCTAACTCAAAACCTACATGGACTCCATTCCCCCATTCATTTTATCAAGTATTGAACAAATAAAGAAGCAATGAATTTGACGGATCAACCATTTACTATGGTTTAAATGCTTAATCCCGACAGCTGAGTGCAATATAAATGAAAATTGAAAGCAATTAAAGAACATAGATAAACCATATTATGGATTAAACACACAAAGTGCACAGTATAATTAGGTTCTACAAATCCAATAAAACAGAATTGCTTGAGCCATCCAAGAGAATGGAAAGGCATCACCAACACAACAGCAGCAGGACTACTTTGGTTGGAACGAGGCAAAAGCAAAGGTGGTAGTGCAGAGAGAAGACCACAAATCATGAAAGATTACTAAAAGGGTATAAAGAAAAATGAAGGTTTTTAATAATTGTTGGCAAAAAAAGTGGACATAATGATTAAGCTTCAGAATTTTTTCCAATATCTTTTAAGTGGAAGGTTGTTTGCAAGCATGCTTCATATGCAGTAACTGTACCATTAATAATTTGTCATAACATCATATCCTCATGTAGATATACACTCCAATTAATAGTACAGATTAGAAATTATTTCCATGATAAGATAACCATCTCACACTATATTTGCTTTGAAGTTTTTCCGATAACATACCTCACAGACAAGTGTCCCTTCAATGTACTTGCATGGTAGATCATCCAGAATGTCTCCAGGCAGTCGCCCGGACTCAATTGCCTTTATATAACAAATTGCATAAATACAATCAAAAACTTATACAAGACAAATTCCTTTAGATAAACCATTGAAGATAAAACTGAGGAACTGTAGATACAACAAAGAAATTCACAGTGAGCAAAAACAATTTCTGTATAGACAAATTATTGCAACCACAAGCAAAACTCTCTATACGAAATATAACCTATGCTGCTGTTTCTAGTTAAGGATTTATATCCTCCTCAACCGGTATTACCATTTGTGTGGTTGATAACTAGGCATGCCACAATCATCATGGGAGGAAGAGTTACTCAAGATGACTAAATCGTTTCATGCTGTAAATGAACACCATCACTCTAACACGTGATACGCTAGCAATTTCAAACACTAAATTTGGTGATCCAAATCTTTTTGTAATATACTTTAGCATATTTAAGCTTATACGATGAGAATATCTTACATCATTGTTCAAAGACTCAGCCAAGTCAGAACTGGAATGGTCATAACAGTTCTACTGTTCCATTGCAGCTCCAACTTGTTGCATTTTTTTTTTCTCCCCCAAGGAAAAAGGCAGGTACATTCAAGATAGAAAACAAACTTGATGGATTCTTATCTTACTCTGCTTCATTATTTGAATAATTGATTCTATTTGCGTGCCATTGTATGGTCAAAGGTGTGAAGAATTACATTAAATGAATAAATGTTTCTCCACTCCTGTTTTTGCATATTGTAGGTCTATTTATTTAGTCTTTAGTAAATTCCACTTATGAACAAAGAGGTTTCTAATTCAAACTTTTGATTCTTTTAAAAATTAAAAACTATATTTTTGACAAATTTTTTTGGATCAATCGTTCAGTTTTCATGATTAACAAGTCCCTCCATTTCATAACCGAGTCTAGCTTGGACAAGTATTTGAGTAGAGCGTATGACTCGAACTGTGTCAAAGAGGGCCAGTTTATGGGGAAAAAAATCATCTCAAAATTTCCAACACTCACCCCCCACCCCCAAAAAAAAAAAAATGATCATCCAGTAGAAAGTCACCAACATTTCCACATCCCCTCTACTTGGTGTGATCATCTTCCAAAAATCCAACTAACGTGACACCATACTTCACCAAGTTCACAAGCACTTTACCTCCTCTACTTAAAAGGTTGTTGTACACACAACCCCACCAAGGTGCGGCCAACAAAAAAAAAAAACGCTACCTAAAACATTCAAGACCACTAAAACCACCATCTCCAGAAAACTTATCAATTTGCATCTAGGATGTTGAAGAAAAAAGGCAAGAGAAATAGAAAATGAAAGAAGTCATTTTAACCATCCAAAAACACCATCAGATAAGGCAACCAAAACCTCATCCCACGCTGCTGTTACCAACATTATTCATCTCCAAATCTTATTTAAATATAAAGAGCGGCTCAAATTATAAATCTACATCCAACAAAACGACACCCGTTTCTATTCTTCTACTACCCTCCCTGCATCATTTTGGAGGCTGGAGGAATCTAGGATTGACTTTGCTTGTGCCTCTAATTAGGGGCAAAATTGTGACGATGATAATAGGTGTTTGTGGTGGTGGACAGTGTGGTTTGGGGTGAAGGGGATGGCGGTGATGATGTCCGTGGAGTGAGAAATAAGTCTTGGGAGCCTTTCCGGGATAGGAGAGAATGGACTGCAGATTCTCTGAGAATGGAAGACTAGATTTTCTATTAATCTTCAACGATTGTATCATTATTTTAATGGAAGCTATTTCAGGACAGGGAATTAAAAGTTTCGATTTTGAGAAAGTGGCAATTTTATTGAAATATTCAAAAAGGAAAAGCATCAGTACATATGTAAAGGAATCGTATTAGGTTATTAATATGAAATTGTAATTTTTTTAATTTCACCCTAGCTTTAAATGAGTTGATGTTTTACGTGAAAGTGTTACATGAAGTCTGCTAGTCAGTTATTGCTGCATTCCAACATGGCAAGCGAGCTGTGGGGACATGCTGAGGAGTAGAAGTATAATGATTGTCATTACTTGGAATTTGTGATGCACGGACACTTCTACTAAGGCGACGTATCAATGTCCAATACGTGTCATGCAAAGAGCAGTTCAATAATCAAATTTAATTCCAAGTAAGCAAGGGATCTTAAATGCAAGAATCTCTCAGGTCACTTCATATGTTTAGCATTTCCAGTGTTGCCAATAGCCTCAAACAATGAGTAAGCAGTAACATGCTTTAAACGAAGTGTAAGATGTGCTACATGCTTTCACTGATAAATAAACCTACAAAGTGCATTACTTACCAAGAATAGAGTTTCGGATGCTCTATCGTATGGGTGCAATAACTTTGGAACATCAACAGGAGTCTGATGACTCTGGTCATTCTGAAAATTTGAAATATAATTGAAGTAAACACCAATACACAAGAGCTTCCCACAAATTTTTGTTTTTTTACATGGACTGATTTATTACTTTTTTTTCACCATTTAAAGTGATTATAAACACACCTCCACCGGCTTCCCCATTAAATATCCGTCTGGGAATAGGCTAAGGGTGAATGACACATCATTATCTGTAAAAAAAGGGGGACAAAAGGTTCGATAATCAGAAGACAAAACCCAAAATACTTAGAACCAGAAAGTACAGAAAATGACATTTCCAAATGGACCTAAAAAAGGAATTCAGAAACTAATACTTACCAGAGATTTCAGTAACACCACCATTCTTATCAGCCTCGACCTGTGACTCAAAAATAGAATTCATATCATAAAATTGATCAACTTTTTGCAAGAATATAAAGTCCAAACAGATAAATTCAAAGTTTCACATAGAAGTTTAATCTTTGAGGATCTAAATGAACAAGTTCCTTTGCAAACTAAGCTAAAGCTTAAAAACATAAATTAATTAATTAATGAATTTAGAAAAATAAAAATTAAAAATATTGGACCTGCAATTTATTATCCAAAATTAACGGCAAAAGAATCGACTTGAACAGATTTTTTTTTCTCAGTTAAAATATTTGATCATTTATATTAAAAATCAAAGATAAATCCATATCGAGAAGGCTAAAATATAAAGAATTGATATAAAAAATAAATAAATAAATAATCCATATCCAGAGCGAAAAATCAACAAAGCTATGAAACTTTTTACGGTGAAACCCACAAAGAAAAAACCTCAACGGAAATCTGCACTGAATTAAAATAAAAAATTCCACAAAAAAAAAAGGAAGAAAAAGTGCAAAACTTGGAATAAGGTTAAGCTCATTCTACAAACCCTCCTCTGTATGTACCTGTTCCGACCATAATTCAATTGATGCCAAGGCATCGAACTTTTTTAATTATATGTTTTACCGTGAGATTTCGGGTGGTAGTGAAATTGGGATCGCTCTTCTGAATTGAGGATGAAATTATGGTGTCTTCTCCTCCTCCTCCTCCGACGGGGGCGTCTAACTCGAGCGGTCTGGGGTGGAACCTCTTACCGGTTTTGGAGACCTTAAATGAAACCCCCATTTTCCGACTGATTGATCCCTCACAAATCAAATTCAGACGAACATGTTAGAACTCAATGTATGCAAATTGTTACTGTGAAAGAGCTAAGCGGAGTGGGAAATACATGAAATTGACTAGAGAGGGCATTTTTCAAAATAGGCTTGACTTTTTCAAATATTTGGAATTATCTAAAATATCCTTAAACAAATATTAAAAATAATTTATTTCATAATAAAAATCTTCTATCTAAATCTTTAAAAAATTAACAAATAATTTTTCTGAAAATTTGAAAGAATTATTAATGAATAATTATAAAATGAAAAAATTCAAATATGAGAGAGGACCATGTAATATATAAAAAGTTGTTAAAAATAAAAAAGAAATTAAGTTTGACAAAGAAATTGATAAGATAAGATATCAAGAACAATTATATGTATCACAAGAAATATTAAAGTGTTTCAAAGAAAACTTATTAGAAAATTTTGCTAAAGGAGTTGTAAGATCAATAATCATAAAAGATATACAAGGTATCATAAATAAATTAGAAAAAAGGAAGAAAAATATCTTAAAATACGATATACCTTTTAGAACAGACATAGATATGATAACAGATGTTGATATTATAAATTCTCAAACATTACTAAACTTTGAAGAATTACTTAAAAATTTATGAGAAGGCCAATAAAAAATAAATTACCACAAGCATACAAAAAATTAGTTTTTAACCTTACCTTAAGATTTTATATACGCTTAATAACAAATAGATTAACTAAAACAAAAATAAAAGAATTTTTAGAATATTAGATTATTAGATTTTTTATTATTAGATTTTTGTCCGCTCATAGTAGCATTCATCCCGTTGGTATCAGAGTCAGAGAGATCATGAGAAAATATATAAAAATAAATTACCTAAAAGATATTGAAAATAAATAAAATTAATTGTTGAAAAGATAAAGAAAGACTTAAAAGTTTATGATTTTAGAAATTATTGAAACTTATAAAAATAGACTAAGGTATCAGGTAAAATATAATTTTAATATAAAATGCTATATCGAAGAAGATAATATAGTTGGAACATATAGTAAAGACATAAAAGAAGTATTAGAAATTTTTAGAGTAATTAAAAATCTACCTTTAGAACTAAAAGAAAAAATAATTAAAAAGATATTATTTGAATAATATAAGAGCATATATATATTAGAAGAAATCCAGAGTGAAATAGATTTCATAGTAATCTGAAAAAAAAATTATTATGGAAATCATAAAAATAAATAATTATTATCAATGTATTGAAGAAAAAGGATGTTATATATTTTTCAACTCTATCCCTAATAAATTAAAAATAATAACATTATATGTAACTAGGAATTTACCTAGAGAGATAAAGGAACAAATATTACGTAAATTAATTGTAGGATTTATCAAAGATAGACGTACATATGAAATAATTATCGAAGTATTTGAAAATGAATTATATCATAGAGAAATATTTGAATCATCATAAAAATATAATGGAAGAAACTAAAAATATTTTAGAAAGAAAGTTAAGAAGAATAAGAATAATAAATAATAAAATTTTAGATGAATTATTAATATTTGGAGATATAACTAAAACTAAAGAAAAACAAATATTAAAATTAAAACAAGAAATGTATAAAAAAAAAAACAAGGTATTATGAAAAATTAAAAGAACTAACAAATATTGAAGTTATAAAACAAAAGTATGATAAAATGATAAGAGATTGTAAAAATACTGAGTATATAGTATTTTATTATTGTCAATCAAAAAATCGATAAAAGAAAATGTCAATCAGTGAACATATGGAAAAATTAAAACATTTAATAAGAACATTAATAAATGATGTACAAGAAATAAAGAATGAAATAAAAAAGCAAGAAATGATACAAATATATTGAAACTTGAAGTCAGAAAATTAAAAGAAAATGAAGAAAAGAATAATAGAATAGATAAAAAATTTATAGAAAAAGAAATAACCAGAATAGGGAAAAAACATATTGAAAGAGACAATTTAATAATAGAAACAGGAAGCATGGATGATGAGTTTAGGAAAAATATGTTACCTAAAATATTAGAAGAAGAGGAATCTAGAGAAAAAATGTTAAGTAAACAAAAAATTAAAGAAAATCAAGACAAAGAAAATGAATGAAGAATTAGATCTACTTATAGATAATTTTGATCATTTAAGTTTAGAAAGTATAGATGATGAATATCAAATCTTAATGAATACTGGAGGAGAACCTAATCACGTATGAACCTCTAAACAAGAATCAATAGATCCAAATAAAAGTTATGCTCCGATGTATAATAAACCACATAGACAATTTTATGATAAAATAAGAGATAAACAACCGTCTAAAGGAAATAAATATAGTAATAGATTTGAATTAAATAATAATTATGATAAACCTGTTAACCATGGAAGAACAAAATTAGACCTAGATTGCAAAATAGACACTAAGAAAGCCTTAATAACATGGGCATACTCAATGATATTATTCTTTTTATATAATAAAGATGACACATGAAAAAAATACTAAAAGAATGATAGATTTTTTAATTGCATCTTTTGAAGGAAATGTTAGAAATTGGTGGGAAGGAATTAGTAGTGATACAAAATTATTAATAAACAGAAATGTACAAACAGAAATAATAAAGTCAGATAAACTAGGAATAGAAAGATTAGTAGATATATTACAGATGAATTCTTAGGAGAAAATTGGTTAAGAAATTATGAAGAAGAAGCAATACGAGAAAAAGATAATGCAAGAGTTAAGTTAATTAATTTAACAATTTGTGATATGTGTAAAATTAAAAAATATACTTGTGAATTCAAGAATTACTATTATACTCAATTTTATAGTAATGAAAATCAAGAAATATATCAAGATATGTATTACAATAAATTACCAAGATCATGGGGAATATATTTTAAAATAGAATTTGAAAAATATATTAAAGAAAATATAGGAATACCTAGAACACTAGGATCAAGAATAAAATTCTTGTTTGAAAGACTTGCATATATATGTCAACAAAGACAATTATTGAAAAAATCAGAAAAATTAACTAGAATATGTTGTGAAGATATGAAAAAACCTATAAGATGGGGATGTAATTCTAAAAAAAGAAATAAAAGAAAGTATAAAAACAGAAAGTTTAAAAAATATAGAAATTTTAAGAAAAAATACATAAAACTTGGAAGAAAATATTATAAAAGAAAAAATAATATACAGAAAAATAAACCTTATAAGAAAGATAAGAAACAATGTAAGTGTTGGAATTGTAGAGAAATAGGTCATATAAGTCCTGATTGCACAAAGAAAAAAGTGAGAATATTACAAAATGATTATTTTGAAATAGAAAGTGAAATATCTGATATTGAACATTATAATAATTAGGAAATATTTATAAGTGAAGTAGATTCAGAAGATAATGGATTGGAATCTGAATAGAGAAATTGAAAAAATAGAAAATAATAATATAGAAATCCAAGAATATGAGGGAATAGAAGGTTATGGATTAAAAGTAACTTTTGATACTAATAAATTTAAGAAAATACAAAAGTTATCCTTAGATTTGAAAATAGGAAAATGGGAAATTCTAGATAAAATATGGAGAAGAAAAGGAATAACAATAAATGAATACCATAAGATTGAAAAAACTACAGATGTCAAGACAACGCAAGGAACACATAAAATAAACCTTTTAACAAAAAGTACAGTATCAGAATTATTATAAAAAATAAGTAAAAAAACATAGTGAAAAGATCAAATATGTTTATTTAGTAGGAATACAAATAATGTTTAAATCTTTATTTAGGGAATGAATAGATTCACCATTAACTGTAAGTTTACACGATGGAAGAATTATAAATCTTGAAGATGGTCATTTAGGAATTATAGAAGGAAATTTAGCATATCAAAAGTTAATATTTACTTGTTACCCAAAATATTGTGTCTCATTGAAAGATAAAAATTTTAATGAAGTCTTAGGATTACATTTCAAATTACATAAAAATGATATAATGGAACCAAGATACCAAATTATGACTATGGAATATAGGGCATCATATACATTTACTATTTCTAATTATGGGAATATTTATTCTAATAAACCATACATAGAAATTTATAAGTAATGTAAAGATATTAGTAAAATAGTGGAACCAAACAAACAAATAAATCTTATTTTCAGAAGAGTATAAATTTAATATAATTAAAAATAAGCCTGAAATAACAGAGTTAAGAGAAGAAGAAGATTATAAAATAACATTTCATAATAGAAGGTTGATAAAGAAATCAAAAAGTCTTAGACTACCTAATAAAAAAGAATATTTAGGAGAAACTAGTGGTATAAAAGAACTAAAACCTCATGAAAATATTGGAAATATGAAAATAAAAGGAAAATATTTCAACGGTAGAAGGTATATAAAGGATGAAATATATTGATAGATACAGGTGCTGGAGAATGTCATATGGCTGCAACTAAAAATGAAGGATTAATGACTTACAAAACAGAACTATATGAATACAGGAATTTTGATGGACAACTATATATTACAGAATCAAAGGTAAAGGTACCAATAAAAATAGGTGGGATTGATCTTTTAGTACCATGTTATTTGGATGAAAGTATGGATATTGAACCTCATATATTATTAGGAATGAATTTCTTAAATGAATTAGAAGATTATAGTATAAAAAGAGAAGGGTTATATATAACTCATAAATGACAAACTACATTATGTAAAATAGGAAGTGAATGAATAATCAAATAAGTTTTCCATTAGCAGTATATATACAAGTTACTATAGTAGAAACAAATATAACAACTTGTGCCTTAATTGATACAGGAAGTGATATAACAATTTTTAAACATTTCTTAATAAAATCATGGAATAAAAATAACACGAGTGACTGAAGAAAGCACTCAAATAATTGATAGTGTTGAAAAAGTTAATATAATACTTGGTAGTAAACAAGTTATAATAAATAAAGTATATAATTATAATAAATTAGAATGTGATATATTATTAGGAAATGACTTTATCCAACAATTTCAATACTATAAACAAAATAATTACATGATAATGTTACAAACACCTTGTGCAC